CGATTTTGTTAGTCTTTCTTAATTAAGATATACATAACTTTTACTTATTCATTGAAATGCATTATTATCAATTTATATTATCAATTTCTTTTATTATGATTTAAATAAGAACCTGGCGAAATTAATCTGAAAATGTGTCAAACAAACCATTACTATGTACACAAAGCACCGCTAATTAGTTCGTAACGCTCACATCGACACTACTGTCATTTACACAATGTACATGTGTGGGTAATTTCATATTACTGTGTATAAAAATATTCGTCCACCACGTTCACATTGGTATTTTCATTCTTGTGTCGGTATACGTATTTTTATAATTTAATGCATGGGTAAGGTTAAAACTATTTACAATCATTGATATGACCCGACATTTTCACTGTAATTATCGTAGTGCTCGTGGTCGATTGGTTAATGAGTACGCTTTTATCGTCTTTCAAGGATCAATGATGATGTGGGTTCTATTCCAGCTAAAAGTTTTTTTTTATTTTACCTTGTTGTTTTTCTTATTTATTTTTTTTTTGTTTTTTGTCATATAATATAAATATCAGGCTATAAAAGAAGCAAATCAGTCGGTAAATAAAACAATACTATTTTTTATTAAAATTAATTTATTAATTATACAAATATGTGGTTTTATATTCAATATTTATATCTAATAATTAATTATATACCACATGTTAACTTTAAAGTTCTTCCAATCATTCTAAATTATTCTAAATAATAAATAACTAGAACTAAAATATAAATAAAGGATATTATAGGTATAAATAAATCTAAAGTATTTACTATTAAAATTAACATAAGATTTAGAAAAATAGGATAGGAAAAAAAGAAAAGATTTAATTGTTTCTAATTTCACATTTCAAATATTTGATTAATTAATACTAAAACAACATGTGAATGCTGGAATCGATCCGGTGGCACTTTACTTGACCACTGGAGGCGATAACCATTGCGCCAAGCGCGCCGTAGATGAGAACATCGAAATATTGTATATCATTCAGTAACATAAAAATACAATGAGAATGCACTATATTTATATAAGTATTGTATTGCTCGATCGTTCATTATTTTTGATTTCGATTTATTCAAAGTTTGTTATGAGTATTTTTATCTTTACCCTCGTTTTTATTTAAACTTATTTACTAAAATATTACGTATACCGACACAAAAATGATATGTAATACCAAGATGTGTGTGATAGAACGAATGTTTCTATACATATCTATTAATATGAAATTACCCACACATGTTCACTGTGTAAATGATAGTAATGTCGATGTGTAGCGCCTCGAACTAATTAGCGGTGCTTTGTGTACATAAGCGCCGTAAACAAAAAAGAAAATTGAAGGTGAATATTCAATTTTTTTTTGTGTTTGCAACATCCATCATTCAGGACACCCTAAACCGTCAAACTCGCAACATAATATTGGAAAAAGCTATTTACAAG